ACCGCGTGACCGCAAGTTGAAGTGATGCAGAGTCACGGGGAAAAATGGCAAATGCCGAGTCTGTCCTTCAGTAGGCCGCGTGGGCTGTAAGCTTGTCTCTCAACCTGCGCTCTGTCTCAACTCTAGTGCTCATGTCCGATCCGCCTTTCATTGCTGGGAATCCATCGTCTATCGCTGCCTACTGCAGTCGTATGGTCGATCTCCGTTCGTCCTATCATGATCTTCCACTGTGGCCGGGCATGACATTCGACCTCGCTCTCAAAAGTCCCCCACCTAACCCGTCCGTTGCCGGAGTCCGACCTCCCCAGATATCCTCCGCTCAACTTGACGTCAAGTCCCGCTTTGCTTTAACCAAACCGTTGCAGATCGGTTTCGGACACCAATCACAGGTCTGGATGGCGCAATCGCCCGACCAAAAGGCGTCGCTCGTCTTGAAGTTCATAATTCCAAGTTATATGGAACATCCCTCGATCCATCTGGAGGCGAATCATGTCCGCCAAGGCCTCTATCTCCATCCAGCAAACGCTGTGGAGTATGCATCTGCTGCGTACGAGAAACTCCCGGAGCTGCAGGGCAGCTCATTGCCGTACTTTTATGGCGTACACATTGTGAGCGCTCATTTTCTGGCTTTCCCTACCACGTGCTCACGCCGATGTCAAGTTCAACATGTCCTGGGGAGAGACGGTGTATATTCTGGCTATGGAGTTCATCAAGGGTCCTTCAATTGCGGACCTTCAAAAGGTTATAGACTCGGAGGGCCCAACGAGCAAATACCGTGATTTTGACGTGTACTGTCGCCTGGTATTTGCTTTCCTTCGCCATCATATTGCGAAGCTAACGAGGACCTAGTTCCACAAGGCCCTCGATGTCGTTCGCGCCGCCCATGCCCAGGACGTCTATCACATCGATATACGTGGACAGAATATCCTGATCGACGAAGAGAACGATCGTCCTGTTCTCATCGACTGGCGCAACGTGACTGTCCAGTGGGTCGCGGGTCCTCCCGGTGGGAAAGTTCCGAAGCCCTTCCTTGTGCAAGAGTACCATGACATGCAAGAGCTAATGATGACCTTCTTTGCCAGCAAGCGCCATAACAAGCGGTTGGTGAAGTACATAGAAGTCGAACTTCCGGATGTTGAGAAATACTGGGGGTCGCAGTCATGATGGTCTTCTACTACGTCTGGCTCATAATGCATGCATATCGCAAACTCATATTCAGTCTTCCTGTACTGCTCAAAACGCGTTGTCCATGGGTGGACATAAGTCACGAGCCTTGTGCATGACAGGCACGAGGACAGTTGCGTCACGCGCCCTCCCGCCGAATTGCAATCTTGTCTCGATCTCTCATCTGAGACTTCCCAACCCCTGTGGCCTTCTTCTCTGGCTCAACTTGCTAGTGCTGCTGCTTTACCCTAGATAATCGCTTGTTAGCTCAAGTTCTGTCCATACAACCGTCGTCAAAGGCTCTATTGCACCATCCATGGCTCCTCGACTCGGAAGGAGCGCGAAAGAGGCAAGAATATGCCAGAATTGCATGAAGTCGGAGAGCGAAATCAAGCTCTTGAGCTGCAGGTTCGTGTCGGTCATCTTCTTTCATCGGGAACAGTTGACACGGATATATCCACCAGCAAATGTCGCCTATGCCACTATTGTGTGCGTGCTGCGCGCAGTACGAAGGGGTACGGGTCTCATTAATGATTTCACAGAGCCGCGACTGCCAAGTAGCGCATTGGAAGGTGCACAAGCCGCAGTGCCAGCTCAATGCGAGGACGAGAGAGATGCTGAAGGAACGGCTCGAGGAATCTCCGGACATCGTCGAAATCAACCGAAAGTTCAAGAACTGGCAACAGGTAAGTGATCTCTCGCCCATCTTCCCCTTGATTTGGGGCGCATATATGCACCTTGACAAGGATACATCTGACCGTCTCGTCAGATTCACCGGCCCCTATTCCACCACGTCCTCTGCAGCGCACTCAACTTGTTCGACGAACCCGAACAAGCCTCGAAGGACCTCCTAGTCGTCGAGCTCACGCTCAACCCCAACACCGGCGGACATCCCCACGCCTCCGCCTTCCTCGTCAAGATGGCGCTCATGTTCCCCATCGACGAGTTCCTCGAGCTCCAGCCGCCCGCCTCGCGCGCCCAGCTCGAGATCGCACACAGGGACCATGTCGCACAAACAGCGCGCTTGCGGAAGGAGTGCCCGGGCGCGCCTGGCGTCGCGCTCGTTATCGCGTCGCTGCGGGAGTATCACATCCTGCGCATGATTCCCGCCATCTTCCCGGAGCCTGTGGACTATCGGGACTATGACCCGGATTGGGAGCAGACGTTTAAGGATGCGGTGGCGAAGGGAGAGAGATTCTGACCGGATAAGCTATCGTGCTCCGAACTACAGTAGCAGCCGAACGCGGCGTAGCTTCGTGCGCCGGACCAGCTTCATGATCACAGCTCGTGTCTGCAGCAGCACGTCTAGTTCGGTTATTATATGGGACTTCGATATTGTACACGACCAGATTCAACACTTGATGAAGTTACCCACAATCATGCTTGGGATGCCCCACTTGTCTCGCCGGATGGTGAAGGAGAAGCAGCAGTTGACAAAGCCGTCCTCATTTGAAGCGGGGGTGCCGTCCTGTGATTGAAAACGTATATCAGTACAGGTCTGAAGAATAAGAATTCCCGCGCGAGGCCATCCTGCGAGGCGAAAGCTGGTCCAGTAATATATGTTCGCACCTTCCCGGCCGCGTTGTTCAGGTTCGGCTTATACCGCAACACGCATGATGTGAGGACAGCCTTCTGGCTTGAGTCGAAGGCGACGTGACCGTATTTCTGCAAAAGCGAGTTGCGTCAGAATCACCATGTCACAATCACCATGTCGCAATCGAGCGGGCGTGGAAGAAATGGAATCCGATATGCGCACCTCCCAGTAGTTCACAGCCGATTCTTCCGCCATGAGCTCGTATATGCATAGTCGCCCCTGTACGGCGTGTCAGTGAAGTGCACCAGTAAAGGGCGCAGAGCCAGGTGAGCCCAGGCGACGAATACGACCAAAACGCCCAACCAGTCGAGCCAGCCAGCCAACCGAAGCTGCCAGCGAGTCAAAGCACTCAAACCAGCAAACCAGTCGAAGAACACAACCGATAACCCGGGAGAGACTCACCTCCCGCATCATGTATCCATCGACGCCGACTAGCTCGGTGAATTCGCGGTTGCCCTTGTAGATCTCGCCGGTGCGGCGCCACAAGCACGCTGGGACGCCCATTGCGGAGAAGACGCGGTCGTAGTCGAGCAGCATGCGTTCGAAGGCCTCTTCGATGAATACGAGGTCCTACATGTGCGGTGTCAGCATCGCAGGGTAACGGAAGGGAGACATGGGTGTGAGACGAGGGGATACAAGGCCGTGAGAGTAAAGGCAGAAGCTCGGCGAAGGGAGACAATCGCTGGGACACGGTCTCGTGGCATGGGAAATACAATGACAGGACCGCGTGCGAGCGTCCGTGATGTGACCGGGACACTCACCAGGTCGCGCAGTGACTGTGCTACGGCCTGCGAACGGGGATCAGCAATAGGAGCAAAGCACGGATGAAGATACACGTACGCGGAATTTGGGTCGCAGCACCGATAATGGCTGGAGAATTTGCTGCTTCGACACCTGCGAGACACTAGATGGAGGTGGTCAGCGTCGATGCAGATGTATAACCATTGCGCAAACGCACTTGCGATCCATCCAGCGCGACAGCCGTGCGTAGCCCTTCACGTAGTTGTACGGCTTCAGCAGCCCCGCCTCGTACTTGCTCCTAATGACCCTGTTCAGCCGCTCGTCGCGCGAGCCGGACTCCTGATCCGCCGCGGTAAGCAGGAAGCGCTCCGTCTTCGTCGCCGCGGGGAGGATGACAGGCGCGGGCTCCTCCTTGACCTTCGGCGCATTGGGATCATCGGAGGCGGGGGTGGACGCGGAGGGGGAGGTAGAGCTGGCGGTCGTGGCGGTCGCGGGCGCGTGTGCGTGCACTGGTGGGGGAGGGGGCAGCGGCTGCTGTGGCTGCTGCTGCATGGGGGGAGGCTGGGACGTTGGTGGAGCGGCGGAGGACACGAGGGAGGGGGTTATCGTGGCGGGTGGGGTGAAGAAGGTCCCATCGTCCAGCGTCTCCAGAAAGTCCCTGTGCGGGGTGAGCGAGGCATCGCGATGGAAGGAGTGAATACACACGTCAGAACGGAGAACTCGTTGCCCAACGTGTCTGGCTGGTAGAGGAAGGGGCCCTGTCCGACGTTCAGCGGCCATGCCGAAGGGGCCGGGGCCCCGGTCGCAGGGTAAATGTGTGCTGACATGGCGTTAGCTACGTCGCGTCGTGATCGGTGAGTACTCACCTGGCGGCGCAGGTGCAGCCTGCCGCGGCTCTGAAGTCGAGTACGCCGGCTTCTCTGGCTGTTTAGGACGCTGCTCATCGTGGCAAAGATGTCCGATCTCTCGCTTGATGCTAGGCGTGAACGTTAGTTAACGAGGTCGTGTGCGAACTTGGGCCTTGCTCACCACCGCTGACATGGACGCCCCTCGTCGCATGTCATATGGCTGCGACGGCAGTACAGGCATGCATGGTTGACCTTCCGCCTCTTCGCGGGTTTCTTTTTCGCCTTGCCGTCGTCTTCAGGTGGCGGATGGCTGAGGGACTCGGTGTGCAGATGGGATGAGGACGTGGTCGCTTGGGACATGGCTTCAGTCGAGGTCACGGTTGCCGAGCATATAGTATGTTGGGAACAATGACTCTCGAGAAAATACAAAGCCAAGATGTGGATTGCTCATTGTTGCAGAGGCAACTTGCCGTTTACGGATGCATTATTACCCCATTTATGCGTGGGAATGCCGACACGTGGTCTGGGCCCACATTAGGCAGACCCCTGATGCGGATGCAAATGCCGTCGAAGTTCGAATGAGAGTGTCGCCTCGAACGAAGAGGATACGACTCCCTCCCGAACGTAGAAGGTGCAAAAACAACGTAAAAAGAGGGCCCAACCGGGAGTTGAACCCGGGACCCCGTGCAGTGATGGTCTTTGACTACCCAAAGCACGTATCATACTACTAGACCATTGGGCCGATGAGTAGGGTTTTTGCTTGTGCGTAGTACATGCAATGCAGCTTCTCTGACCGTACCTATGTGCATCGGCCGAACGGTGAAAAATCAAGTGGGGAGCATCCCTTGCAGGGTTGGAAGATCTGCACAATACCGCGTCTGTGACAGACTGACTGCGTCTCAGATCGTCTGTACGATCTGTCCGGATTGCTGGAAGATCTACGGTACGAGTAAACCTTTAAAAAGCAAAACAAGACCCGACCGTGATTTGAACACGGGACCTTAGGATCTGCAATCCCACGCTATAACCACTTAGCTATCGAGTCTTGCAGAGGAAATGTTTGGCAGAATTATACCACGTCAGGTTGAAGACCAGGATCCAGCTCAGATCCAGCTTCACCATGATGCGGAAAGAGCAAGCGCAAGACGTACGACGGACCAATCGACGGCCGGAAGACAAGCAGATGAAAGATAAATCAAGATGTAAGTAGTATTATACGTGATACATTGGCGTTGCCGACTGGACAAGGAGAAGGAAGGAGATCATGGAGAGGTGCCAGTAAGTTCGATCAGCCATCGAAGAACCATCGCAGCTGGACGGCAGTCTCCTACTTGGGTGGGGGAGATGGTGGTCCTGCGGGGAGATCAGGGCAAGCACGTACACGGACATGTAAGCACCACGCACCAAACAGCCCAGCGCGACCAGGAGGAGTAGCAGGGAATGGTGACGGGTGCGCAGGTTCGGGGTTATACAGTGGGTTGGCTGTGTGGATAATCAGCCGCAGCGCAAGCTCAGAAGACAGAACACGCACGACGCCATTGGGACCATGCAGGCAGGCCTGGCTTCGGTGCTTCCAGAGGCGGTACGGGCGCAGGACTCGGAGGCGCCGTAATCTGCTTGGGCCTCTGCGCGCGCTTGTGCACCGTCCGCCACGCTGGCCGCGCCGGCCCCGCGGGCGCATCCTCCACCGCGGGCGGGGCTGGAGGAGGGGGTAGCGGATCCGCCGACTGTAAACAACCGCGATAAGCTCCCCATCCGCCATCCATGCACTCAGAGCACGCACCGTGGGCCGCCAATCAGGCGAGTAGTCCCCCGCGCCGCCGAACTTGGACTTGACGCTCATAAGCTCCGCGATCTCACTGTGTGCGTTAGAATTGATTCCGTCGATCTCTCGGTCTGTGCGTGAGCGGGGACAAAAGAAGACGCACAACTGCAGTGCGCGGCGCTCATCGCGCAGCTTGCCGACCTCCGCGAGGAGGATGCGGACCTCGGTGGCGAGAGCTTTGCTGAAGTCGTTGATGTACCTGAGAATCACGGAGGTTGAGATGGCAAGCGCGGGATGAGATGGGAAGCGCCGTGAGATGTGGCGCCAGTACAACTTGGCACGTACTTTGGCGGGGCACCTTGATAGGGCCCACTTGGGGGGCTCGAGGGGCCGGGATAGTTTCTGGAAGTCATGGTGGGAGACAAGGGACGTTGATGTCAACCGCCGAGGTGCGGACGCCACGCGACTGAGCAGAAGGGGAACTGCGTTTACGTAATAAGCCTGCCTTTTGTTCTCGACGTCCACTGCAAGTCCTCGAATCTGGCCAGGGTGGTGTTACCAACTCTCTATTCGCTGATACTGATTTTTACATGGAAGAAACAACACAACAAGACTATGCGCGTACACCGTTGGCCCCCGTACGAGCTTCCCACTGATGGAAAAGGTCCTCGAATTTGCGACGCAGATCCTTCTCCACCTCCAACGCTTTCTTCAACTGGAGTCTCATCTGCAAGGCGTCATCATACCGCTTCGCCAGCGTAAACGCCTCCATCTTGAAATTGAAGTTCCTCGCTTCCATAACTAGTCGCCAAATCACAGCTGGTCAGCACGACGCGCCTCAACGCAAACGAAACGCAAATGACACGCACACTTCTCTCTCCACGCTTGACCGGCCAAAAAGGTTACTGGGTCTAGCTTGCTCCTCCGACGCCTCTGCTCTTCCTCGTCGAACAGCTGGCTTCTCCGCTGGTACGCCTCGTCCATCTCCCTCATGCCCTGGCCGAGGTCGCGGACCCCCGACTGAGGCGACGCTCTCATCATAGTGGCCCAGCGTTCCTCGTACGGCGGAGGAAGCTCAGAAACAGAAACAGATACGGGCCTGCTACTATACGGAGGAAGAGGGCTGCCGGTCCCAGCGTCGCTAAACGTGCCGCTAAAGGGCGTCAAAGTGGAACCAAACCGCGGCGGGCTGGTCCGCGGCGGCGATTTGCGAACAGCCGGCGACGAAGCGCGGACAGCCGGCGACGAAGTTCGCGCAGGTGGCGACAACACACGCTTCGGCGGCGAGGAAACTCGTGCGGGCGGCGCGCGGCGTTCTTTAACTGGTGATGGCGGTTCTGGCAGCTCGTCGTCTGAGCTAGAGGATGTGTCGGAATAAGAGACATAGTGGGTCCCTTGCGGACCCACATCATTGTCAGAACGGTGTGCAAATTTCGCACCGCCCGGACGTGCGGATCGAATGGGAGGCGGCGTTCGCGGCAAGCGGTATTGATCGTTCTCGAGAGCACGCCAGCGCCTGGGAATGGGCTTAGGGTACGGGCGGGGAGGCAGACTGGCATTCCTCGTCCGTGCCGTCGCGCTCGTCCCGTCCATGTGCACGTCAAGACGTGGCTCGGGGCTTTCCGCTGTGGGAGGTGGCGCGGGAACGTCCTTTCCGTTTACTACCACCGATATTTGTGGCGAGACCGACACTGGTGCTACAGCGCGCTTCTCAACCTTTACGTTTGGCTGCCCCGACACCGTGGACGCTCTTTGCCGCGACCGCGTACTGGCGCGCGCCGCCGGAATCGATGCGGGCGGTGGCTTGGGCTTCTCCTCCGCCTTAGATGTCGGGATCCAAATTGGAACTGGTCCCCGCGTAGTCCGCGCTTGCGGGCCTCGCGCAAGAGGCGGGGGACGGTGGGACTCTGCACGGGATATTGGGTGACTGGGGTCGACTAGGGATGGGGGCTCTGCACGAGAGGCGGTGGGAGGAGCGCTCGCGAAAGCTGAGTGGGCCCTCGGTCGGCGGCCAACGCTGGATGCGTGCACCCTGGACCGTTGTGCTTCCATGGCATGATCACGGGACAGGGGCGAGGTATTTCGAGGCGGCCCCATGTATAAGAGTGGTTCCGGTTTAGGCGAAGGAGGGCGAAAGGCGGGATGCGGGATATGAGGGATTGACCGCTTTCGGGGGATTTCGCGCACTCCGGTCATACGATGCCAAGGTGAGGGCGTTATCGGCAGTGGATCTGGGCTATTGAAGACACTTCTGGTAGAATCGCCGTCAGAGTCGGAGTCAGAGGACGACGTCCATGGTGACGGGATGCGATGCGGAACGTCTTCGTAAGAAGGCGCAAACTGATCAACGTCCAGAAACGCCGACTCTGGCCTCCACTGGCGCATATACTCTTCTGAGGACGAGTTGGACCATGCTCGTGGGAGAAAATACAACAGACGCACCAGATGCTGCCTTCTCCTCGGGATCCGGGATCCCATGGTATCGACACCAGGCCTTCTCGTTCCAGAGGAACTTGTCGTCGTCCGCAAGGACCCCGGCTTCGCGCAATTCATGCGATCGCTTGACCAGTGGGCCCAATAGACCGCCACTCCTCTCCATGGACTCAATCGTCTCTCCTCGCTTTTTGGTGTCCCATGCATTCAAGTGCCACCGATAACGAGCACGTACTTGTTCTGCCCATTCGGCCGCCGCCTGGTCCGCCATCCGTTTCTGTCGTCGCATGAAGTCTCGATACATGGAGTCCTTCTTCAAGGCGTATTCCTCCGGCGATAGTTGCGCCTTGGCCCTGAGGGCGTCGTCTCGCATCGCCCTCCACATCTTGTCGTACTTCTCCCTCAAGTCGCTTAGGGCTCTCTCCTTCCATGTGCGGGATCGCGGCCGCGACGGTGCTTGCTGCTGGTCGGGCACCTCAGGCGAGGATCGAGCGGTGAACGGTCTCGCCATTGGGTCAATCCGAGCGGCTGATGGTCTGAGGAAGTCTCTCGATAAGCAATCGCAGCCCGACCTGACGTTGACTACTACTCGATGAACTCACACAAGGGGGGGGGGGGGGGGGGGGGGATCCGACGATCTGGAGGCGGAAGAGAGCTTGGGAAAGGATGATGGCAGATGCGTTCACACCATCAGCAACACGAGGCGGGCGGGCATTGAGTGTTGTTGAGACATGTCTGCAGCTGTATGTCGGGACCTTGGAAGTGCCGCCCGTCCGGCTCGCGCTTCTGCGCGCAAACAACGATGCCACGAGACTGCGAAGCACTGCACTTAGGCGCCATACAGAACCAGGCTGGCGCTGGCAGTAAATGAACTGTCATACACATCGATTGCGGTGAAGGTTACTGTCGAGGTTACTTCCATAGAACAATGGCAAGCGACGCGCCGTCGCGCCCATTGTTCTTTGATCTCGATTAATTAGTAGTGTGGCGCGCAAGTCACATCCACGTGCTCCTGTCACGAATTTCGCCGATCAAAATTTTGGATCAGCCATTGTTCTTTTGTTCCTTGTTTTTCGCGTTTAGCGCCTTCCCTTATTAGACATTCGGAGAGCCATCGGGACTACACAAGATGGCGACGGCACCCGTCAGCATGGTCTCGCACCCGGTCGTTTTCACGACACAGACACCATACCCGCTCCCCTCCCAAAAGTTCATGCTCCCCGCGTCATGGCGGCGCTACCAACTCTCCCAACTTATAAATAAGGCACTTTCGCTATCAAAGCCTGTCCCCTTTGACTTCCTTGTACGCGGGGAAGTGCTGCGTACAACAATTGGGGAATGGTGCGCGGAGCATGGCGTGGGGGAAGTAAGTATCTTTCCAGCTGCGATAGAGTCCATTGACTGACATGGAGTACAGGAAGAGACATTGGAGCTGGAGTACATCGAGTCTGTGCTGCCCCCGCAGAAGATGTCGGATATGCCCCACGAAGATTGGGTGTCTTCCGTGTCATGCGCGCTGCCTGGGTGAGTGTACCCCGTTCCTC